GATCATTAAGTAGTATGCCTGAGACAGCATTAAGTCACCCAAATAAAACATGTTCCAAGTAAGTTTCTTATTTTCAGTCATCTATAAACTATATAATATTCGCATTTGACCATCTAACAAAGAAAGCAAATTTATTTCTCATAAACCACAGGTTTTGATATAGAATTGAGAGTATATATACGAAATAAAAACATAGCCTCTGATTTGCGATTTATACAATCTATAAACGGAATAATATGCTGATCTTAATCTATATATCAATATTTTTGTAACGTCGGCTTTCTCATGGCCAACCGTGACGCATTTATCATTTTTTTTCATGATACGTTGCCATGTTTGTAACGTCAAAACTGTTTTAAAAGTTGGAACATCAACGAAGCTAATGACGCTTTATAACCCGGCTACTGTTCAATTCTTGAGAATCCTCCAGTTTAATTCTATCAATAACATTAAGACAGAATTGCCGGGGGTAATTATAAAATCCGTATAATTAAGTATTCCTGACAGGTAATATAATGTTACCGTATAATAAAACTGGTTGATTCATGTGTCAAAGTAATTAGCGCCTCGACCTAGCATACGGGTTATATTTCCACAATCTAACCGTTTAAAATTAAGTAACATTATAAGCCTATATGTCAAAAATCCTTTGTATAACTAATAAATAAAAGACACGGCACATAACTGTTTTGTCAATTTTCTAAGAAAATCTCAAAAAAATAAGGAAGTTATTGCTATACTTATTACTCTACAAATTCATTATAAGCATGAATCGCTGAACTTATGTTATATGACCGTAAATATTAAACGGTTGTTCTGCACAATAATATAACCTCGTCACCTATGCACATGCTCCTATATAATTATTTCCAATACCTCCCGAGTATTAATAATTCAAAAATTGTGTAAGAAGTTCTGAGTAAAATTGAATGAGTGACAACCTGTATCTACCATCTATCCCTATCACCGTATCGCCACTTAATTATCTCCTGTTTAATCGTGGTCAAAAATGGTTTGAAGCCCCAAGTAATATGGTATAAGACAGCCATGAAGGCCAGATAGGTTCCCTTGAGTTCCTAATTTGTGCCTATCGGTTATTAATTCCGTAATATCTCAAACACACTTCATAGTATAACAATAATATTATCAATCTATAATAAGGATTACCAATGCATACAATCACTATATACTGTGTGCATTAAGTAAAACCATATAGCAACGCAATAGTAGTCCATTTCAAGAGCTAACTTCGGCGAGACACTATGTGTAAACGTATTCTGCATCAGAGGTCACGTGTCACGCGTAGATGTCAAACAGTAAACAGGTTAGATTTTTGCTTAAATTCAATATTTTAAAATTTCAGTTGTTGTTTTTAAATGTTATTTTTAAAAACAAAAATTTTCAATTTTGTTTTTCGCCAATTTAACCCTTTTTTAAGGGTAGGTGTTGGCCCCACTAATTTTTTTGTCAAAATTTTCAAAATAAAAAATCGCGAAAAACCTTTGGGTATTTTCCCCTAAAATTTTTAAATTAAAAATTGGTTGTTTTAAAAAAAAAAAACCCAAAAATTTTAAAACCCGTTTAAAAAAACGCTTTTTTAAATTTTTTGGGCCCTAAAAAAGGGCCCAAAAAATTCCCGATTTTTAAAATTTTTTTTTCTTTACAAATCTTTTTGGCATAAAGGGGCCCCACCCCCTTTTATGTAAAAAAATTTAAAATTTTGTTTATTTTTTTAAAAAGGTTTTTTTAAACCCAGTGGAGCCCTTTTTAAATGGGTTTTCACTCTGTTTCCTTTTATGCGCTCTATACATGTATACTGAAAGTTTTTAAACCCATTTTAAATGATAAAATTTTTATTTTTTGCATTGGTTGTTTAAAAATTAAATGTTTGTTTGTTATGGTTTTAATACTTTTCTTTTGAAAAACCCCGGCCCTAGTTTTTGAATTCCCTGTTAAAAAAAGTTAAAAAAAACCGGGCTCCAAAGTCATGTACCCCCCCTTTCTTTAACCCATTACCCCCGGGCAAAACATGGGGGCCCGGAAATTTTATATCATTTTAATCAGCATGGGAAACCCATTCCCAATTTAGAAATGTTTTTATAAACCCCCGGGAGTGAAAAAAAAGCCTTTTTCCCCAAAAAGTTTTGGACCCAAAGTCCCCGTCTGCAAACCAAACCCGCCTCGCCCAACCTCCCCAAAAAAATTCGGGCCCACCTTTTTACACCCATTTACTTTAATTCTTAATACATGTTATCTATTACAGACATTTTTAAAGGTCTTTACTTTTAAAAATTTTCCCCAAAAAGAAAGTATATTTTGAAAAAAAAAAAAATGCCACCTTTTTTCCCTTTATTTTTAAACCCTTTATTATTACAAGCATGGCGCAAAAAAAAATGCTCATGAAAACGGGTTGGCGAGAAGAATCCGCTTAAAAGAGATGATAATTTTGCAAAAAGCAAAAATATTTTGCCAAAAACATTTCTTGTTATATTAAATTTACGTTGACGGGAATTCAAAATGTTTCCCAAAGGAAATTAAAAAAAAAATATTTTTTTTTTTAAAATTTTAAAAAACAAAACACTTCCTGAATTCCCCTTTTTCAAAAAATCTAAAACATTTAAAAATAATAATTAGGTTTTAAAATTGGAACAGGAAAAAAATCCCTAAATGAAAATCTTTATCCCTATGCATATTTTTACTTTTTAAAATAAAAATGAAAAAATGACATGAAAATTTAAATGTTTTATTAACAAAAAAAAGAAACAAACTTTTTAAAATTTAAAAACAATTTTCCCTCCCTTTTTTTTGGGGTAAACCAAATGTTTATTTTAAAAAAGGGGCCTTTCAAATGGCCTATTTCTTTGACATATTTTTTAAAAACGGGGAAAGATAAAAATTTTTTTTAAAAGTTAAAAAATAAAGAAAACAAAAAACAGAACTAAATTCGGCTTTGAAAAAAACCCCAATAACCAGTTTAAACGGAAAATTTTTAAACAAAGAATCGGCCGAAGTTCTCAAAATTCCTTTAAAAACCTTTCCCCTTAAAAAATTTCCTGAAAAAGGTTTTTTTTAAAGGAAAGGGGGCTAAGAAATAGTTGTTTTAAATAAATGACTTTTTACTAATTTCTTGTCGATTTATTAATTTTGTAAAATGGACCCCTTTAAAAGGGGAATTGTTTTCTAAAAAAAACCCCCTGTCGCCTTTGATTTAAAGTTTTTTTAGTTTAAAAGGGTGAAACAAAAAATTTCTAATCACAAACATCTAATCTCCCTAGTCTGTGGGCCCAATTTTTTTAAAAAACCCCATGTACCCTTGATTAATTTTGAAAAATATTAAAAGTTAAAAAAACTTTAAAAAATTCAAATTTGGAACCCCCAAATTTTCCCAATAACCCACCCCAATATTTTAGCCCCTCTGTTTCCTTTTTACCCCAAATTTTAAAACCCCCGTAAGTTTTTCCCCGGTAAAATTTTTTCCCCGTTAAACCCAAAAAAAGTTCAAACCAAATTTGGGAATCCCCAAGAAAAAATTTTAAACGGGAAATTTTAAAAAACTAAAGATTTTTTTGGGATATTTAAAAAGAACTAAAATTTTATTTATAGTAAACCCAAGAAACTTTTTCCTTTTAAACCATTTTCAGTTTTTTAAAAAATTGCCCAAGGGAAAAAATTTACCCTTTTTAACAATTTCATTTTTAAAAAGGGCCCAAATTTTGAAAAATTCCCAAAATTCCATTTTGAAATTTTTAAATCACCAAATAAAAACTGGGGGTTATCTGTAAATTTCTTACAGGAAAAAAACTAAAAATAAGGGGTTGGGAGGTAAGTGATTTCCCTTGCTTTAAATTTAAAAACTTTTGATGGGGAAAAAACCAAAACCCCGAAAAAATTGGGATTTTATAATGAGTTCAAATTTAAAAAAGGTAGAGGAGAAAATTGTGCTGGGTAAGCATGTTGTCAAGTTAAAATCCCAAACACATTATAATAAAATATAAAAAACCTATCCTTCGGGTCTTGTTTTAGATTTTTAAAGCTAGTAAAGACCTTTCCCACATAAATGCTTCCCATATTTTTGTTTTTTAAATACCCTTTTTTTGCGTGTTAACCTTTCAGTAGAAAAAAGGGAAGTATTCATAAATAACGGAGAATAAATCGTTAAGGTTCCCCAATTTTGGACTCCCAGGGATAATTTGGGTTTAGGGAAAACGAATGGGGCGACTCCAAGCTGTGCATGGCCCCGGGGGTAAACCACACAATACCAAACCTTGTGCAGGGTAAAAAACCCAAATTCCCCCCCATAATTTTGGGGGGGTTGAGCTGGTGAGGAAGGTGTTGATCCAGAGAGGTTAAATATATTTTAAGCCACAATTGAAAAAAAAAAAAAATAGGTAATTGCTCTGCAGATGGCCGCATTGCGGAGGTTGTACTTTTTATTGCCTTATACAGCTTTAAATAATGAAGTACCTGTCAGACAAACCTCCATAAATCAACTCATACAGTGTCAAAACAATGTGTTATATTATTTTTTGGCACAAAATTAAAATTGTCACCAAGCTGGGTGAATATGATTTTAATGATTTAACAACCATCAAACAAGAAAGTTGAGGACAGTGAAGTCTACGATGAGGTCTACAAAGATTCATTGACCGTTCTCTCATCGGCATGTTTCTAAAGATAACTCGACTTTAATGTATATATAAATTTTTAAGAGGAATGGTCAGCAAGTGTAATATATATTAAGTTGTTATATGTAGCTGTATAGACTAGATGTAAAAGTTTTCTATTTTGTTGTAAAAACATTACTAGCCAAAACTACATTAGAGTACAGCCTTTCTTAACATTTGATTACATAAAGCTGCATGCAAAGATTAAACATTCAAGTAATAATTTACATGTTGTGTCAATTAAGGATTGATTTTGCATTATTTATCACCATTTTTCTACTGGTCACTAAGGCAGTAAGGGCTATATTTGCTTATTAATTTTGACCTCATGTGCACATGAATTATTTTCTTTGTTCATTTCACAATACTTTACTTTTAAATTCATTTTTAAAATTTTCTTGGAAATTAGCACGAATTTTAAGGCATGTTGCCTTATTACAAATATCTTATCTTTTTACAGTTAATTGGGAAAATAGTTTAGATAGGATTCTCGATTTTGAATGTCCAAAAAATGGTTACGTCAACGGGATGATTAGTGAACATGATAATGGGGCCGAGGACAGAAGATGGAAGTTCTACTGCTGTTCTATACCAGGTATGACTCCATCTTTCCTCATATTAAATATTCTATGATAATTCATTTTTAAACTTCAAATTCATATAAATGAAAATGTACACGTCAGTCGAGTGTGTACAACAGGACCATGTGTTTAAACCGTGTACCTTATTCAAATGGACAAATCTATGTACGTTAAACATTTGTTAGATATTAGCAGAAGAAACTAGCTAATTGCCGATATAATTATTACAATGTCATTGTTGGCGTCCGCCTTATGGAATGAAATCAGATTTTGTGAAAGGGCAATTGCAACTTCTCGAGCCTTTTCGTCGGCGATAATAGCCGAACATTAAGATTGGTAAGAGTGTTTGATTATCAAAAATGAAATGCGCGATATGTACAATGAATAATAGGGAACTGGATAATTTTGCAATGTAAACATATTCAAATGAAATTATCTTATCCGTCAATTAATCGCGCTTTTCGGTATTTTATTAATAATTCGTAGTACACAGTGGGTTATTATGTGTGTTATTGCTTTATCTATAAATAGAATGATTACCTGAACATTGTGAAAGTCCGAAAATCTATTTATAGAAGTAGTTTTTGTTTACCGAAACGGTCATTCGTGTCGCAACGAACTTGAGAATTTTGCAGGAAATGAAATGCAAACATATTAAAACAATAAATTGCAATCTTTGAATTGGCAATTTTTACGAATTTTTTTTATCATAGTATGAACATTCTTCGTCTGCAATTTTAACATGAGTTGTTATGGGTTTATTGATAGGCATTTGAAAAAAAACTGATGGGTCAGACTAGGTCATTAAAATAGTAGATTAACCTCCCAAATAAATCAATTAACATACTTTGTTAATTTTGACTGTTATGTTGTATGTTCCAAAGAAAATACCACATGAACTTGAAATTCTATCAAGTAACCAATATTATATAATGATAATATCAAAAAAATACCCCTATATAATATAAATAAACTTATACCATATAGGGGGTATATTTTGGATATTATAGACCTGTATATTTTGGATATATCGTTAACATTGATAGAATTGAAGTTCCTGTGGAAAAAAAAATAGTATTCAAATCTCTAGCATGCCTACCAAAGTTCATGATGAACAATGTCTTTCGTTCGCCCATTCATAAATAATATACAATACTGGTTAAAACCAATTAACTTTTGAAAAGTTTATATGAATATCTGGTCATCAGATGTGTACTAGTGCATCTTCACTTGCTGCATTTCTTGCTTGGACGCCCTTTGATGCTTTGCATCAATGCTTTTCTTATTATTCATTTATCTTATACATGTATTTACCAGATATTCACATGTATGATTGTGAACTGACTGGATGGACAAATGATTTAGACAAACCACAGGACTACCAGCTACCAATGGGGAAGGCAATTAAAGGGGTTTTCTCTGAACACGATAACGGAGCAGAGTAAGTGTTTTTGTGCCTTATTTAAACATTTATTTTCTAATAAAAAAGGACGGTAAGTTTAAAGTTGCATGCCTCCAGATGAATAAAAAAAAATTAAACCTGAAAAAAAATGTAATAAAATTTTTTTAAAAAAAGGTAAAAAAAAATAAGTAAAAGATTTTCGGATTCAAGTTCATGTAATAATTCACATGTTATGTGTGAGTTAAGGACTGATTTTGCAGTTTCCATCACCATAATTCCCTTGTGTTACTAATGCAGTAAGGGCTAATTTTTCTTATTTTTGACATCTTTTTGGTATTTACTGGATTGTAAGTGCTGTTTGCAATGTGTAATTATTTTCTTTGATCAATTCACAGTATGCTACTTTTATTTAAATACATTTTTAAACTTTTCATGAAAATAAGCACAAATCTGGAGGCATGCTGCTTTAATACTATAGTATTATATATCATATACAGAAACTAATTAAAGTGTATAAAGCTATATATCTGCCGCCATTACTAAATGGTTAGAAGCACATTGTACTTGATTAATAGCATAGTATTTTGTTCCTGAACATTTTATTCCGTTCACGTACACTATTCATTTGAATTAAATAACAGACATTATGTATAACAACTCTTTCGTGAATCAACCATGATTTAATGGAAACAATAAATGTTTGTTTATTACTTTTATAAAAATATTTCATTAGATTTTTAATAAGTTGTATGGGCAGACAATCTTGCAATCTACTTCTGAAAATATTTGACTAGTTGCTTCCCCTGAACTTTGACGGTACTCGTCAACATATATGATACCGTTATTGTTGTCGCCAGTTGACAGGGGATAGAAAAATAATATATGTTATGTGTTGAGGTTCGGGTCGGAATATCCGTCCCGGTGGTAACCGCCCATTGAGCGGAACGAGGCTGGCCAAGTTTGGTGTGCACCAGTCTGTTATTCAAGAAAAGTATATATGAAAGAAAGTGCATATTGTGCTACTCTGTGATATGCTAGGGACAAATGTTATGTTTTGTTTGTGAATGTCAGGTGCATTTCTAGTTGTCAAAAACAAATTTGAGACTCGTGACCAATACGACCTTATTTGCTCAATTCGGTTTGACAGTCCATCGGCAAACCAACATTACACTACATGTACCTATTCTCTGGATAATTTGTCTCATAACACGATCTGGAATATCTTTACAGTATAAATGAGTAATCTGTATAAATGTCAATGTAAGCAAACATTTGAGCCGTGTCATGACAAAACCAACATAGTGCGTTTGCGACCAGCATGGATCCAGACCAGCCTGCGCATCCGCACAGTCTGATCAGGATCCATGCTGTTCGCTATCAGTTTCTCTACTTGTAATAGAGTTGGTAAGCGAACAGCATGGATCCTGATCAGACTGCGCGGATGCGCAGGCTGGTCTGGATCAAGACTGTTTGCAAACCCATTATGTTGGTTTTGTCGTGACGCGGCTCATTTGTTGTTGTTGTTGTTTCAGGGACAGACGTTATGAATATGACGTTTGCAACATGGTTCGATTTAATGGAGATGAATCAATTATCGGCTGATATAATAAACATGTAACAAATGATACAAAATAAAGAAGAAAATAAAACACATCTTTCTTATTCCATTTTCATTCAAATTTATTAGTACTTGCACTGTTCATTTAAATTCTAATCAAGCGGGGGGATTTAACTTTCTACAGTGTATAGTTATAAATTTCATGTCAATTTGACAGAAGCATTAATAGATTACAGCAAATGGGCATTTACTTTAATTAATACTTTGGTACATTTTGATACATCGTTGGATTAGTCATGTTATCGTTTGGATAAGTCATGTTACCGTTTGGATATATCATGTTACCGTTTGGATAAGTCATGTTACCGTTTGGATATATCATGTTTCATGTTACCGTTTGGATAAGTCATGTTACCGTATTGATATATCATGTTACCGTTTTGATATATTATGTTACTTGGACAAGAAACAGTAAATCATTAGATGCAGCATTTAGGAATTTAGTAAACTTATTGTTTATCATTGAAACAGAATTTTAGTCCGCTATCAATCTTCCGATGCTACTCGTAGCAAGATAACTACTTCAACATAATATTCTGTATGTATACACGGAAATAACAAATGATCTGAGAAAACCAAACTTTATCACTCTCCTGGAAACCCTGAAAATAACTTAACCATACTGATCCAAGACTTCCATACATCTAAATCCGGGAATGTCCGACTTTCCACTAACAAATGGTACTTTAATAGCTATCGATCACCATGGATGTATCAGTGAAACACTTGGTTTTAAAATTGACCATTTTATCTAAGTATATAGATATCCAATAAATTGTTGATTGTAAATAACTAAAGCTGTAAATTATGATGATAAATGGCCATACGCACTTACATCTAATTTGTAATATTGGGAGTTTCTGTTTACATATTTTCAACCTCTTTCCGCTATTACTGACCATTGTAAACAAACAACCTCTTCGATATTGTTAACTAATTTTACACTTATCCTTGTTCATCGTTCAGATTTTTGAAAAACCACTTACAATGCGAAGGCAATTTAGTAATATGAGTTTCACATGAAAGAGAATAAAACGGAGACTAATGTAAGAACAAAAGAAAAACATGGTTCTTAAAGGAATTTGATCTTCGTAGTTTAGAAAAATATTCTTATGAAGTGAAACATTTTAACACAAAATGAAGCTGTGAATCGAATGAGAAAAGAACAATCGCTTGCTTCGTTATTTTTTAATGGCTTCTGTTTAATCGCACTGTTACGTTTGAAAAATATGATAAAGTGACTTGCGACGAATTTTCTAAAGTTTGGAACTGTTCTAGTTGTAGTTATACGAAACTTAGAATAATTATTGCTTTAAGTCATGTTAGCACTAAAAGAAAAATAAGTAAATAAAATGGTTTAAGTTATCACATATATTAATGTAAATGTCATTACCTTTATTATGTTGAATTGTAGATAGTAAGGCTTCTAAAGCGTTCAACACACTCTTAGTTATCTTAGTCTGGAACTGTTCTGGATGAAAAGACATGTAAAGACATGTAAATACATCCATAACGTAGGGTTATAACAACCGGATTGTATTATATTTATTTGAATGTCAATGGAATATGTAATTGTGAGTATTGTTATGATAAATAGATTACCTCAGCTGCAGTTTTCAAATGTAAATACTGTTATTTTTTCTATTTATTTCAGATACTAAATTAATATTCATTGATAGGTTTATGGAAGGCAAAGTCTTTTGTAATCTGGCAAAACCTCCAAAAGTGATTTACTCGAATTCGGATAATGTTTCTTTAGTATTGAATAGATTATCCAGTGTAGAGCCTATTTATAGTATAAGGCAACGTTTTAAAGCCGTCTACGTAGCGCTGAGCGAGGAATTGTCAAACAAAGTTGATGAGCAGTATACTAACTTTAACGGTAATATCTTTAATACTTTCAATACTATTTTGATGAATTATATCATTAAAATGTTCAATAAATTAAAACAATGAGATCAGGAGTATGTTGATGATTTAAAGGATGAGATAAGGTAAATGTTGTTGACTTAAAAGAATGTGATCATGGAAATGTTGATGATTTATAAGAATGAAATCAAGGAAATGTTGATGACTTAAAAGAATGAGATCTGAGATCACGGAAATGTTGATGATTTAAAGAATGAGATCAGGCAAATATTGATGATTTAAAAGAATGAGGTCAGGGAAATGTTGATGATATAACAATATTGAGTTAAGGGAAATGTTGATGATTTTAAAGAATGAGATCAGGGAAATGTTGATGATTTAAAGGAATTTGATCAAGAAAATGTTGATGACTTACAAGAATGAGACTAGTAAAATGTTGATGACTTGATACATGTAAATAAAATCAAGGAATTGTTTATGTTATTAACAACGTAACACTATCCTGGCTTTTCATATTTTCGAAGACGTAGGGACATTTCGTGTCATAAAAGATGCAAAAATGAAATCAATGCATATTTTTTATTACCAACAATTTTTTTTTATCTTTTTCCTTTATAATTTGAGAATGTCTTTAAAGAAACTTAACGATTTACATTTTTACTCTTGTTTTATGGAGGCAGCCATTTTGGCTTCCAAGAGAAATGTCTTCTTATATTTTCGACAATTTTCATTGGTCGAGGAAATTCAGGTAAAGTATGGTCAAATTGTTTTTTTCACACTGTATAATAGTAAACTACTCTCAGTTCAAGAAGAAAGAAACTTATTCCAAACAATGTAGAACAATTCTTATAAATAATGGTAGTGTCCAACAACTAAATAAAATGTTAAATGCCGAAGTTTTAACTGGACTGCAAAACCTCAGGTGTACCCACCCATCACACCTGTCACAACATCCCCAGTGAACGATGGTTAAATGTGTCAATGTCTTTTATATTGTGACGCCTGCAAACAATTCATTTGTCAGAATATAAAATATTAAAATCTGTTTTCCCCACTGGTTGCCTTTATTATGTTCATGTTTAAGTCGATTTTTTTTATAAAATACAAGAAGTCTTGGGCTGCAAAATAAGTTCGATAACCAACGTTTAAGGGTGGTGATATTTACATTTTATTAAAAAATATGAATGATCGCTTGTTTTAATAACAAAAACAAACAATTCTAGTAGGAGATAAAAATCCAAGCATCTATCCATATTTCTGTTACTTACTGCGAATTTATTTTAAACCTGGCTCTGTTAAATATAAGTGGCAGCCATTTTTAAAAGTTGTGTATCTCACGGGAGGAAAATAATTGTGTTTGATTCATATGATTTCATTTGGATTTGTTAGTCATACACCTTTCAAAAGAAAGATAACTTATTTGAGGATTTTTAACACACAATTTATATTGAAGACAGATGTGTAAACATTCAAAAAACGGCTAGGTCATTGGAAGCTTGGAGTTGTTGCTTACGAACGCTGGGA